CCTGCCCACAGCCCTGGCGAAAGAAAGAGAGAGTATACTGGGGCGGGGATAGGCATGGAGGCATGGGATAAAGGTGTAGCGCAAGCTGCGTGAAGTTTCACACCAACTGTGGCACTGGATGCTGGGCGGAATGGTCCCCCTCCCAGTCCCAGGGGGGACCGGGGCGATACCCCCTTCGGTTGCATGCCTTTTGCGAGAGTCAGAGTCGAAACCTGCAGCAATCAAGCAAGAGAGAGAGAGAGACACAGAGTCCCTTGCGCCACAACCCTGGCGAAAGAAAGAGTACCTTGCGAAAGAGACAGTCAGAGAGAGCCCAAGAAATCCTGGGGCGACCTGCTTTTGCGAAATGCTCGCATGCCACGGCACAGCCGAGCCTGTTCGTCGACGGAAAGAGCTGCAGTCGTGCGCGTCCGCAAGGAGAGTGGTTCCCTTCTCCAGCCTCGTCCGAGAAACACAGAGAATCGGTCCTCTTATTCGAGAACCGAGAGCAGCCACGGGACTCGTGTGTTGCAGACTTGCTTTCTGCAGGTGAGGCGAAAGGCAAAGGCAAAGGTGGACGAGGCTTTCCATGCCACTGATTGTGTCGGAACTGCCCACTATGAAGCGCATGCTTCTTTCTTGAGCCGGCAGCATTGGTTAGTGGCTGGGAACAGGCTCCAGTAAGATCTAGCACCCGCCAGCCGCCAGGAAAGGACCCTGCCAAAAAGGGTGAAGGAGGCGGCAAGGCGCACGCTCGTGCCTCAGCCAACAGTGCAAAGGGGCTGTGTTGTTTACATCTCAGTAGGCGCAACAAGAAGTAAGTGCAGCTTGACGGAGTACGTCCTAGGCAATCAATAAAGGAAGCGATGTTGAATTTTTCGCGCTTTCGGATATTGACCTGTAGGCCCAATGGCCGAGGATGGTTTGGCAGAGAGAGAGAGAGAGCCCACCACATCCATATCTTTTCCAGTACTGTTTCTTTGTCTTTTCCGCTGATGGGGGGAACCATATCTTTTTCCGAGCT